TATATATATAATGAATTTGTAGTTCATTATATTAATTTTTAAAACTACCAAAATATATTATGTTGATAAACTAATCTATTAAACCAAGGTAAAACTTTATTGGCTATGAGACGGAGACATACATGATTATAAATCTAACAAAAATAAGAGAGAATGGTGGAAAACAGTTTTCAAAATTTGTTTGTGAAAGTGTGTTTACATAATATAACATTTGTATGGAAAACAGTTTTTTTACTCATTTTTATAAAGGTGCAGTTTGCATAAGGCCGAGGCTTTAAACAATCAATGTAAGGTGCACCTCCAAATAATATCAGAAGATGTTTTGTACTTAAAATCTATATGATGGTCTGAAAATTTATTTTCATATCCAATAGTGAAATTTAAAGGTTCAAAATATTGTAGATCGAGCAGATTAATAAACACTTGAAAATCTAAAAAATTAACGGTCTAGAAATGTATTACAAAATGCACTATTTCCAATACTTAGAAATCTATTTTTTCTCATGTATATATATGTATATATATCTTGAGATCTAGATGATCGTTTTGAGGAGTTTTGGGCATCGAAACAACCTCTTCGATTGAATTTTTGAGGTGCGCGTTTAATTAATTGTTCAAAGGCTCCCCCTTACTATTTTTTTTCTTTTTATAATCATGCTTTTCAAAACTTTTTCTTAAAAATAAATTTAAATCATTTTAAAAATCACGTTTTAAGCTGGGTTTTTGCTCACTATGTTTATGGATAAGTTACATGTTCAGAGAGAGATTTGTTTTGTCATTGAAAGAGTGTTGTGAGTCAGCGGCCTCACTAGCCCACACAATCACAATCGTCCATCTTTAAGATGAACATCCATAACTAAAGATTCCCATTTAGAAAAATATTTTAGTAAAAAGTATTTTAAAATTTTATTTTATTTTTTATATTCATGCTCATCTAGATTATGGACCACTACAAATTTGGATCTAAGATTGATATAAAAATGGGTGTTTAAGGGAGCCCGCATGAAAATACTATGAGTCGGGGGACTCATAAAAACCGGGTCCTTTTAAAAGAGAGGTTTGGACCCTTTCGCGCTAACCTTCATGTCTTTCCGGTTTGTTCGAATATTTTAGGGTTTTGCAGTAGCTCGCTCTTCCCTTTCTCTTTTGTTCACGGAAATTAGGGTTTGGTTTAGGGTTTCTTCTCGACCTTTTTCACTTCTCTGCAACCTCGTCTTGGTTAAAAGATCTACTGTAACTATGACGACCGTTGTTGAGACTTCAGAGGAGGATTCAGCTCTCGCCGTGGTCCGATTCACTGCAGAGGTGGCTTGGCAAGATGCAGGACCGGAGGTACTTTTTTCCTCCTTCCAATGCTTGTCATCGTTTCCCAATTTCAATTTTTATATTTTATTTTTGTGGTTATTAATGGTTGAAATTGTGAAACTTTCTGAATTATGCGGTTTTTTCTCCAATTTAATGATCCGAAGACCTTTAGTACCAGAATTTTTGTGTTACTGTAGTTTCTTTCATTTTCTTGTATTTTTGCTTTTTTGGAATACTGCAATTTGTACACAATCTGTTGATTGGTAGATTGGATTTTTTTTTATTGTTGGGTAAATGGATTGTTTATATTAATGGAACTTTGATAATTTCTGATGCATTTGCGTGGAAAATGGAAACTCGTGAATTTATTTTCCTTTTCTAACTGTGAAATGAAAAATTTGTGCGCATCTATTATTTACTGTGATGGAACTGGATTTCTTGGATTTTGGGTACCTGTTTTACCCAGGTACGATGTAAATTTCAAGGTTTTCATGAAAGCTATTGTCTTTTTCACAATTTTTTGAGCTTTGATTTGACAGTGATAAGGTGGAATCCGATTTAAGGCATATTACATTAATAACTCCTTTCTGATATTTATCTGAGGTTGTGCGTCTAGTGCAAGCTTAATGTCCCTGAACCTGAAAAAAAGAAGAACCAACCTTTGGGTCATTAGTAGCGAATGTCAAGTTATTATGGAATAATCATTGCATTGACTGACATAGTGAAGTATGGGGTTTCTGGTTTTTGATAGTTTTATGGTGTTCCATCCGTATTAGTATTATTGGATCGCGTACTCGTAATAAAAGATACATTTCAATTGTTTTTGGTTATTGGAGACTGATGCACTGATTTGCAATAACCATTAGTTCATATGCCAATGATTTTGATAAAGAAGTTCATGTGGGAAGAGAGCTTGTGAATAATATTTTCTGAAGGCATGAGAAAGTAGCTCATATGGAGTTGTTAGAGGAATAGTTGGGTGTTTCCTGCTCTTGAACATTGACCTGAATATTGTCTTGCAAGAAGGAGATGCAGTGCAATGGCATCCAATGAATTTTAATGAGAAACATGGGGACTTGGACTATTTCTAATATTAAAATAACAGGGTGTGTTGGGGGGGGGGGGGGGGCGGGGGGGGGGGGGTTCTATCTTTTCATGCTTGTGGGCTCCAAACTTCACGGTCAAGTTACTTAATTTTAGCGAGTTTTATTGTGGAGACCTCAAACTAGAATAGTGTTTGGTTGGGATCCAACACTATTCTAATATGTTCAATCCATGGTTACCGGAATCTCTCACCCCATGTAGTGATTTTGCTTCAGGATCACAATTCTGCAGTTCCTTCACAAAATCTTCATGGAAACCCTTTTCTTGAAGTCAAGAATCTCAATTCCATATTTTAGAAATCTTGATTCTACTTTTTTCCTATCTTGATTTCAACATTTATTGAATCTTACTCATTTAACAGTATCAAAAAAAACATAAAAAAATTATTGAATCTTGCTTTCACATTTATTGAATCTCGATTCGATTTTTTTGGAATCTAGATTCCACAACATCAATTACCATAGTTTTTAGGTGCAAGAAACAGTGATTCAATCAACATGGAATCTTACTTCCACCTTCATAAAATCTCGTTCCTATTTTTTTAGAATGTAGATTCCACATAATCGAATGAAATACTGATGTTCATAGGTGCATTCTACAACACAATGTGAATTTTATTGTCTCATTAAATGTATTCACTTTCATTTCATCACATTAGGTAAATGGTATATTTTGAAAATAAGGTTAAGGATTCTTACTATTTTTTTTGGGCAGATCGGTGGGGAATACAGGCCCCTACCTGTTTTTAGAAATAATTGGCAGTTTTCGAATGCGTTAGTGGGAATGGAAACCTAGACGGGTAGCTAAGGCTCAAGTGGTGCTACCACCACGACGTCAACCCCATTCCCGAAGTGGTATGTCAGTGGGGATTTGGGCCCCTGCCCTTTGGTGAGAATGGAGTCAGGTACCTCACCATGGGGCTCGGCACACTACTGCCAAGGCCCCAGACCATTCTCAGGATTCTTACACAATTGCTTTTGTAATGGTGCTCTAGAACTTGGCGGCTAGTTTTTAAAAGATAATTGGGAAAGAGAATTGGGTTCCAATTGGGTTACATTTCTAATAGTGCTAGAACTGGCGGCCATCTTTTAAAGATAATTGGGAAAGAGATTTTGGTTCCATTAAGATTACAACACAAAGCAACAGAATGGCACAAACAAGTTCCCATTTTCAACTAGAATTCAAAATCTCATTTTCAAGTATACACGAGATAATATTTGTATATTAGAAAACATCATCACAAATTAGCTAGTGGATTGTGGGTGTCTATTAATTGTACTTAACCCAAATGTAGTATTGCGGCCACTCAACCGTAATTCTAATACTATGAGTAAGGATCAATAGATCAATTTCAATACAGGGGAACCATTGTTTAGGTCTTTATAACTTTTGAGGAGCATGATTCCAATACTAGGGGAACCATAGCTAAGCATACTCAAAACCTTGATTCCAATACTTAGGGATTCTTGCATATGATATACTTGAGAACCTTGAACCTTTTGCTCTAAGAAACAAATTTCCTCATGATATATGATATGCTTCTAAGCTGTTGCGTGTGATATCCCATAGATGTAGGAGTCTCGATTCCAATTGGGTTGGTTCTTGATCCAATAGAGGTAGGAATTGAGATTCCACTTGGGTTGAAGCTCGACTCCAGTTGATTTGAAACTCGATTCCAAAGATGTAGGAATCTCTATTTATGTCAAAACTCAATTCCATGGAGGTAGGAATCTCGGTTCCCCTTGGGTTAAAACTTAATTCTGATAAAGTAGGAATCGCGTTTCCTACAATTCCTTGTGAATAGACAACAATTCATATAACATAAATCTTCCATCCACTCGTGATTCCGCGATTTCAATTCCTAAATCGACTCGGCATCTCATTGTTTCCCACAAGTATGGTTCAATCTTATGAATAAATGTTATATTGATTGCTATGCGAAGGTTATAGTGAGAGGAGCAAATCCTTTCTCATGGAGAGTGATGATTTTCTAATCTTTGTATCTCTTGTGCTGATTTTTATTTACTTAGATATTAATTTTCTTGATTAATGCAATGGTTCTATTTTATTATTCTAATGTCTAATCATATTTTATTAATTCTTGACTGTTGGGAATTAATTTAAAGTGCATTTATATCATCATCATCGTCAAAGACTTTTCCCAACTAATTGGGGTTGACTTTATGAATCCTGGTCCGCCATTCTGCTCTATTAAGGGCCATACCCTCAATGAGACCGTAAGTTCTTGTATCTTTTCTCATTACTTCTAGCCATGTCTTTTTGGGCCTACCCCTTGCCATTTTTGAGTCTTTTTCACCAGCAATCAGGCGTAATTATGGCGCGTTGCTTCTGGGGAATGCCCTAGCTAACCCTTGCTTATTTCTCATTATACTTGGATTCCGGTACAACGTGTCTCTAATGGATAACACCCTAGCATTAGCAGATATCATAGATTTCGGATTCAAAGAGAGTTTTTGCAAAGTTATACATTGGCTGCATACTGAACACAACCCACTCTCTTTATTCGGGCTTGGGATAAGTTAAGGGCGAGTTTAAGGTCCTCATCCTTCTTAGACCAGTAAAGTGCATTTATATGCTCTCTTTAATTTGAAGGTACCCCGTTTGTACTTTACATAGGTGCTAATTGAATGAGGATAACTTGCTCTTTATATTTGCTTCGTAAGTAAATATGTAACATTTCTGTATTATTCTATCTATATTCTACCTTGAGTTGAGGATTTGCTGCTAAAAGAAAGTTTTGATACTTGAAATTTCATATGTCTAATCTTCCATATGCCCCTTTAAAACTGCGTCATTGAACACTTCAAATGGAATCTAATTGCCGTGGTTATATGGCTTATTAATTTGATAGTGTATGCGGGCAAGTATTTTAGTATCTGAGTGGCATGATGCTTCTGATTCCATTTGAGTGATATTAGTGATTGTGCTTAATTGCATGATGCATGCTAGGGAAGTGTGTTTTGTTGTTTTGGGATGTATTGTATCATATGAATAAGTTGGATACTAGTTGCATATGTGGTTTGGATACTGCATAATCAGTTTTCATCACCTGAGTTGACTGTTTTTCGATAATTGGTTGAGTTTTTTTTGTCAAGTTATTTGATTTGGTTATTTTTCTTCTTTAGTTATATTTCTTCTTCTACATGTTGATGATTGACATATTTCATTGTGTTGATAGCTCGCAGAAAGTGAGGTGGCTAGATCACTTGATCATGCCCAAGAACATATGGTGAATGGTAGATGGTTAGATTTGGCATCTCATATGCTCACATTAGCTGAACTCAGTTTTACCCGAGTAGCTGAGAAAGGTACAATCACACAATTATAGTACCACTCATGTTCATTTCATACACATTGGAATGTGCGAAAGCTATAATCATACCCAACATATCTGTATGACATGCTGTATAAGAAAAGGTTGGAGTTTTGCTTTTCCATGATCTCAGGTCGTTGGACATTATTCTAAATGTTGCTTTTGCATGATCTCAGGTCATTGGACATTATTCTAAAGTATTCAGACCTAATCTCTGTCTCTCTCTGTCTCTCTCTCTCTCTCTCTCTCTCTCTCTCTCACGCTCACGCATGCACGCACACACTCAAAATTTTTAAGAAGAATGAGAACAAAATATTGCTATTGTGCACTGCCTTATTGATTTCCCACATGTGAGGCTTCATGTTTTGATGGGGATGTCTTTATCCTGGGTTTCACTTCCATGAATCCTTTTTTCTTATTTTCTTTTGATTCTTTCTAGGGATTACTAGTAGATTTTCTGGTCTAATGTGCTCCCTTTGCATCCCTGATCCCTTGATTTGATCCCCAAACATGCTGTGGCTCTGCGGAAGTTTGTGCCAAAGTCCACGGTTACCTCATTCTCTAAATAGAAATTCACTTCACACACTATTCAAAGAGCTAACCTCTGTAATCTGGGTTCTGCAGAACCAAGTTTGGTCTTTTGCCCATCGGGGATTCACCTTATCTAGAAGACCATACAAAACTTGGTAATATCTCCCTGTCCTTCATAGTAAATGGCTCCAGATCCAAATTCTCTTTTAAGTTACTCGTAATGTTTATGCGACAAGCCCTTCTTGTAGTTCATTCTTGTGGTGGAGACCTTTTTACTCTGTCCATTGTGAACCCTGAGAATTAGTAGCTTTGACAATCTCTAAAGCTGGCAGTCTTTTTTAGCAGGCATGCACCTACTGGCTATGGTTAGACCTTTAGAATCCTGTTTCCAAATCATAGTTAGAGTGTCCATGAACATTGAGTTTGGGAGCTCCCATTGGCAGCTAGGGAAAGAAAAAAAAAAGAAGAAGGGAAAAGATAGGAAGAATAAAAAGTCCCAGTAGCACTAGACTTACTCTTAGGGCTGAAATCGCCTACCTTGTCAAACATAGATCCTCAAGCTCTTACCTGCCCAATGATAGATGATGCTGACTTATCCTACACTATTGAGGACTTACCAAGATTTATTCAGTATTCTAAAATGTCACTCTGTTTCTTTGATTATAGCATTCTTTGTTATCTATCATTAAAAAACTTTTCACATCTGGTTTCATATTTGTGTATACAGATTTAGATTGTATCTATACTGTTATTTGCAACCTTGTCACAAAAGCCCGAAGTCCTGATGAAGCCGGAGAGATTGCAAGGGAGATATCTTCGGGAGTCCTTAAGCAACCAAATGAAAAGCCTGCTTTGCGCTTGAAGATGTAATAGTCGTCAAAACTTTTGCTTTTTTCTTTTCGGTTTTTTTTTTCCTTCATTCTGAATGAACATTTTATTTATAGTAAAAATGACACAATAGGTTGCTGATATACATTACAAGACAAGCTTCTGGTTAGCAACTATTATATTATACCACAATACGTACTTATGAATATCTATCCTCCAGACTGTTCAATCTATACAACCTTCTAGAGCAGCCCTTCAGCCGTTTCCAGGTCTATCAGAAAGCGCTCAAGCTGGCGGTTGATGGAAAAGTTACGGAGAGCATCATACCTTCTTTTAAAAAGATGGACAACTTCTTGAGAGAGTGGAATATTGGAGTCATGGATCAAAGAAAACTTTTCCTCACCATATCCAACATTCTGAAGGAGAACAAGAGGTACGCTTTAAGACCTCGGCTGAGGAGTACTGTTTGCAGGTTTTTGTTGCATTGGTAAATCATTTGCATCTCTTAAATCTATTTTGCAGCTCAACAAAGGATTCATTCTCCTTTTTAACCAAGTATTTAGCAACCTTTTCTGGGGAAGATGCACATACCATGAGTGAAGCGAGAGAGGAAGCTGAACGGGCAATTAAAGAGTTTGTGAGGGCACCTGACATGTTTCAGGTATGCTCCTTGTCTAGTCGTATGGCTTTTAACAAGCATCATTTCTTTGTTTCCATGCAATACTTTGGGTTTTTCTTTTCGTGCATATTTATCTGGTTTTGGTTGAAATGCAAACATATATTATGAAACAATGGACTTTGGTAAAACTTTATTGTGATTGGTCGTTCCTGTTTGATGTAATAATGGAATGTGAAGGAGGGGGATCCACCATTGGGTTCATGTTTTTCTTTGATGGGTCCCACATTATTTCCATCACCATCTGTCATTTTATTGCGGCTATGATGACCCAATGTGCTTTGGTTTTTTGTTGAAATTTATATTTTACTTGTACACTTTAAGATCCCAACCAGGATGCTTAATAAGGAGGATGTGCTATGGTTTTTTCCCTGTCTGATTAGACTAACTGCAATTTGAAAATAGCAAAAATATGGTATGGTAGTTAACTGTCTCGAATTCTATATATTGGATACAATAATTTCTATGTTGAGTTTTTTGCTTATTATCCTCATTTTTTTTTCCTGATTACTGGGTGGGTGACAATTTGTTCCCTACTAAAATGTTCCTAAGTGACAATTTGTTCGCCACTAAAATGTTCCTTTGTGATGTTGCTGCAGTGTGATCTATTGGACATGCCAGCTGTTGTCCAGTTGGAGAAGGATGGGAAATATGCATTGGTATATCAGCTGTTGAAGATATTTGTCACCCGAAGGCTGGATTCCTACTTGGACTTTCATGCTGCAAATTCTGCTTTGCTTAAAAGCTGGGGTAAGTTTACATATGTGTGTGTGGACTTCCATGCTGCAATTTCCACTTTCCTTAAAAGATGGGGTAAGTTTGCTTGTGTGTGTGTGTGAGAGAGAGAGAGAGAGAGGGGTTTGTGACAAAGCTTATGTAAAAGGGCTTCTGGAAACAGCATTTGTTATTGTTTAGCATATGGTTTTGAATCTTTGACTATCATATAAAAGAAAACATTCTTGCTTGTGAGGAAAGTTTCTATGGGTCTCAAATGCCTATCGTTTCGTCCTCAGAACTGAATTCCCTGAATCTACAGGTCTTGTCCATGAAGACTGTATCACAAAGATGCGGTTGATGTCTCTGGTGGATCTGGGTTCGAGTGGTTCCGGTGAGATCCCTTATGCTGTTATCAAGGACACCTTAAGGGTAAATTTTTAACTCTTCTTCAGTAAACACTTGAGTTAAAATTTCGGCTTGAATTTTTTGTTTTTAACTTGTAGAGTAAAATTTTCGCTTCAGACCTTCAAGCAATGATTCTTTTTCAGGTGAATGATGGGGAAGTGGAGTACTGGGTAGTTCGGGCAATAAGTGCAAAGCTACTCGATTGCAAAATGGACCAGATGAACCAAACTGTAGTAGTCAGGTAACTTGGTTTAACCGTATTTGTTTTCATTGTTTTATGGCTAACTCAGGCTTAGTGAGCTATATTTCCTAGATGATGATTGTTTTCTTAGACTTTTTCCTTGCTGTGATTCTGACCAAATGCCTGTGTGCAGTCGTTGTACTGAACGCACATTCGGATTGCAGCAGTGGGAAGGCCTTCGTTATAAACTTGGCCTTTGGAGGGTGAGGAGGCATTTCTCACTTTACCCTTATTTATTAGCACATCTCTTTATTTATTTTAATTCTGATTTCTGTTTGATGCGATCTGTAGCTTAACTCATCAGGTAAATGTCTGAAGTTCATCTAAATGTTTTTTCGAGAAAGTGAAGTAAATTTGAATGTCTTAAAGGAGAAAATTTTCTAACCTGTTTTGGGACTTTCCTGATTTGCAAGAAAGAGAAAAACAATGGACTGTCATGATATCGCCAGAAATCTGCAAACTTTAGCAATCCTTCGCAAGGGATAAACATGCTCCTCCCGGAGTCGATGTGTTCTAATTGCAATTGTATTATTTTTAGTGGATTCATTTTGCAGTTATTTGTTAAGGGCACAATGAAAATTTGTGCAAGGGAAATAGAGATTTGTTATGTAACAGTACCATGTGACAAATTTATACTGGAAGGATATGAATTCATTAGGTGATGCTAACATGGCAAAACGGATGGGTATGTCTGTATATAAATTACTTTAGTGTCTTGAACAAATGACTGAATATGCCCTCCTTAAAGATTGGATCTATAGAATGGTAGGGTGGTGTTTTTGGTCATTTTGATAGACTGTGTTTTACTTAAATGGGGCTTTTGAAATTCAACAGCAAGTATGGGATCTCTGATCCCTAATTTTTGTGCAAATAGGGATTTGATCCAATCATGATACTGCTAGAATTTTACGGTGGAAAAGCTTTATGATTGTGTCCAGGGTTTTGGTGTTTTTCGGTCCTGAATGAGTTTAGGATCTTGTCTCTCTTGCAATCGAGATAAATGATTTTTCAAATGCATTGGATGAAATGGTTCTGAAGTTTTGTGATGAGGATTAGGTTTATTGGGATTTTCTGGATTGGGTCAAATGGGTTATGGGAAAATTACTATAGGAATTGGGTCTTGGCTGTAGTTAGGGACCTTAAATTTCAAAGGATTGCTTCTTTTTGTGCAGTATTAAGAAAATGTTGCAAATGTTATGAGGACTATTCAACTGTTATCTTAGGGATTGAAGTTTGAGATTAGGGTCACTCTTGGACTTTGGGAATTGGGTTTTGACTATGGTTTGAGGGGCTTTAGGGTTTTAGAGAACTTTCTTTTTATCAATGATATATGCTCTTTTGTTATTCAGGAAAATGTTGCAAATGTTGTGAGGACTATTCAAGCTGCGAGGGCATCAGGTGAAGTAGTTCCTCAAGCTCTATAAGGTATGGCTCATTAGGCATTCTTCTCATTTGTGGTATTTGACAGCAAATGCACCCTTTCAACAAGCGGGGTTTTTACCCATTCGAGATTGCAATTTTAATCAAATTTTCCCCATTGGTTGTAGAGATTTTGATGTGAGAGAATTTCGTGAACTAAATTTGAAAAGTGAGGAGTTTACTTTGGCATCTGTTTTTGCTGCGTACTGGGTGCTTGATCAAATCTATCTTCCATTACTGATATATATGCATTTATTTTCTCACTTCTGAGAGAGAGAGAGAGAGAGAGAGAGAGAGAGAGAGAGAGAGAGAGAGAGAGAGAGAGAGAGAGAGAGTAGTAGTAGTAGTTAGTTAGTTAGTTAGTTAGTTAGTTAGTTACGTTAGTTACGTTAGTTACGTTACGTTAGTTAGTTAGTTAGTAGGT